TTTTGCTTGCTTTATGAACGAAGTAGGCTAGCGGGAGCGGTTCGTTCGTAAAAACACCAATCGTACCGTGACAATTCACCACCAGGGCAACCCAGAGCCCAACCTATTTATTCATAAAGTCTGCTTACAACACCTGCAGAGTTACAGGGGCACCAAGATTCCACAAAAACGTTGCATCTTCTGAAGGAAGCCATCCAGGTTGAGGGCACCGTCCCGCAGTCGTTCCTCAGATCTTTGATGCTCTCGCCCTTGTCGTTGCACCTCTTGAGTGTTTCCCTCGCCTGGCCACAGTTAGGCAGCTGGAGCAGGGACACCTAACTGGTGGCCTCATTTTTCTTCAGGAGATCGACGAAGGCGTAGATGTTCGGGTGTGCCCTATCGAGCATTTGGTTTATTTTCCTGCAATTAAAGAAACGTTTCTGCATATCCTCTTGAAGGCAGCGAGATATACATGCCCGTATAAATTCGACCTTTTGCTGCTTACCTATGCCAAGCTTCTTTCAGGTTGTTGGTGCGGGCTCCGAGGTTCTCATGTTGAACCCACTGTAGAATATTGAAATTATCCATAATCAAATGTATTGAAAATAAATAATTAAAGGCGAAATTTTGAGATCCGAAGGTGCAGCTAGCTACAGGTTGTTCCGTGCTACCCGCAGAAAATTCGGAGGTACGAAAGCGAGGCTGATCAGCTTTCTGACGAGGCCAGCAACTGAGGTGTACACCCGATACACCTTTGCGAACCCTAACTGTTCAACCTTTTGGCCAAATCGCTTGGGAGAAGTTGAAATGACACCCCCGGTGATGAGTTCCTGGAAAAACGAAGAGCAAGGTCTGTGCCGTTTCGAAGCCTGTTCGGACGAGCTCAAGCGAAATGGAGAGATTGCAACCAGTGAAAGCGTGTTTGAAATCCTCGAATGCATGAACGTACATGTCGCATTATTCTCCTGGCAGAAAGAAAGACGCAACATTGAAGCTGCATCCCTCTTTCACAATGCTCAATGTCATCATCTGGTAAAAAACAGAGGGACAGGAAAAGAAGGTTCCATCAATGAAAACTTCGTTCGCTTCAGAGAATTCAATGAGTGCCTCCGGTGTACCGAAGCAGATGATGCGGCCGGCACGGGCTGGCACATCAAAAAGTACAAATTATCTTCCGTTCATCGTTTTCGTGTATATGCAACCCAAACCTGCGTCCGCGGCACTTCCTGGTAGTGGAGGCTGGTTGTGTCTGTTCGCTCTGTAGATAGCGCTTCGTAAGCTCCAGAATGTTGGAAGCTGAGCTAAGACGTTCTCCGAGACCTAACGAAAGAGAAAAAAAAAATAATAAAAAAAGGTATATTCGACGTAGCTCCAACCAATATTTAAAGGTAAATACGTAAGACTGAATTCACTTGCTTGGCCTATAATGCTCCGTATTTGCTCAGAGTACATTTCTGGAGCGGGAGCGCTGGGTTCAGCAGCGGCGTGGTTTTTCAAGGCCGACTTAAAGCGTGTGCAGTTCTCGCTAGCAGCATTCGGCGCATGCGAGTGGTCGCCTTAAAATTGAAATCAATAAAACCATAACCCAATGCGCGGTGGTACAAAGCTTAGAAATTCCAGATGTGATCACCACGCCAGCATTTAAATGTATATTGGGTCATTAGAGAATTATTGGAAGCGCATGCAATAACCATCACCACGGGGCCAAATAGAATGGGGTCATTGAGTGCGGGGGTTTTGAAACGTGGGGCAAATGGCACGGGGCTTTTGTGATGATGATTTTGCGCCCGGGGCGATCGTGCTCACCCGTGATCCAGACGTGCGGAAACAAATGATGGTGGGGTTATCAACTAATTTTAGAGTACAGTGTTGTGATATACGATTTCGTGAAAGAGAAAAATACTACAAATTCTGCGACGACATGCGAGGCTAAATAGAAGTAGCGTTTTTTCTTTTTTTACTCTAGTCGTGCGATTATAATAAGCCAAAATAAAGCGCGCCGATGTGCTTTAAATAACTAAAATAAGTCAGTGAGGTAGGCGGTAACAGTAATCCCGGAAGGAGTCTGCATATTGAAAATTTTACCGCAAGAATAAAAAAACAAAGTTTCAACGATGAAGGGGTTACATAAAAAATACTTTTAAAGTAACCAAGCATACTTACTGTTCGCGTTATTGATCTCGTAATTAATCCGCAGATTTCAGGACATATCGGAACTTAGGATCACTCCTATATGCTTGTAAGAGTAATTCGAGCTCTAGTGTAGTGTTATTTAGGTTAGCCGTAGAAGTAAAACTAACCTTACGGATGATGAGCGCTAGCTTATTCTTGTTTATATTTAGTTGCATTTACCAGAGATCGTATCATTAAAAATAGAATTCAAATCACGCTGTAATTGTTTGGAGTCAGAGTTATAGATAGATAGACTCATAGATAATTTTATTAAGTGCCTGCCAACAGCTAAGTGGCCTGGGTGGCAGCGCGTTGTCCCATAAGTGAGTACATAAAATAAATGCATGCTTTTCAAATAAAATCAAACAAATACCATCGCCTAAAAACAAGGCATTATAGGTTTGTTGCAATCGTGTCTTCGGACAGATTGATCGCACGTTGGGTTAAAAAGTGTCTCGGCAGCTTGATCACCGCCCAGAGGGCACACGGAATCTAAAGGCCATCAACAACTCTGAACAGACAATAGCACTGTGCACAACCTGATGTAAAAAGTTCATATCTCTAGCAATGCTTTTATCATGCAGATTTAAATGATCGAGGTCCTCCAAAAGAGAGTTGTAGCCGTAAAAGTGGCAGCGGTCAATGTGTCTACCCTATGAAATTCGTATAAATCTACGCTGAACATTTTCAATTATATTGCTGTGTGACATCGCAATAGAGCTCCATATTACGGACGCGAACTCAAGACGTGGTCTAACAAGTGCAGAGTACAAGGTTAACAAACACTTAGGAAATCGAAACTTCCTTGTCAACCGCGAAATGACACCAAGGTAGCGGATACTATGACTAACAATACGAGAAATGTGTAAAATAAAATCAAATCTAGAGTCTACAATCACACGAAGGTCAAGGGCGAAAATATGAGGAGACCATACTGTAAAGTTGTTAATATAAATAAAAAAAAACGAAGAATTTAAAGCGGGCCCTTGAGGTACTCCGGAAGAAACAGATATAAAAGTAGAGTTAATGCCATTACAAGTTACAAACTGCGAATGATCTGTTAAAAATGCTACGACCTGGCCGAAAAAAAAGAATCTTAGTTTTTTTGTTGTTGTAAAAATCAGATAAATTAGAGTTAATTGATTTATATCACATTTAGTTAATTCAATTCAGATTTGTATGATATAAATCAGATCGAATATATTTAAATCACTGTAGCCGTAAAATAGTGATTTTTAATCACTTGATGTATCTTTAAAAAAATGTAGAAAATTGATTTATCAATTCGTCCAATCACGGAAAACCATGCAGAAGAAAAAAGTATTGTAAATCTAAAGTTCAACTTAATTTACAAATTGTTTTAGGGTAAACACCGCCATAGTAGAAAAAAAATGGCTTGATATTTTTGGGTTAACAGAATAGTCTCGAATTCCCTTTTATTTTTGCTTTCTGATTTTCTTTTAATAGGACATTACTTTTCTAGTGAGTTTATTTATTTAGTATTGTTATTTACTTGCAGTGGGAAGTTATGCAACTGACGAACGAACCGAGTGGCAAAAAGAAAGCTCAACGTTCCAATTTGCTCAAAAGACCACTGTTTTGTGCTGTATTGAACCTGATATAAACGTTTCTAGCTTGGTGACTTCCTTGATTTAAATACTAAACAAATGCACATTGAGCGCATCGAAGAATGGACAAACGATAAATAAAAAGATATTTTTGGGATCATTTTTACGGGAATGGCTTGATTTAAATCATCACAATAAAATGGGTCTGATGTAAATCACAATTTAAATCATCTTTATTTTTGTTTTTCATCCTGGATACAACACAATTAAATACATAAGGGTCAATGTTCAGTTTACTTAGTTTCTGAAGTAAAATATTATGTGGTAGCTTGTCAAATTCCTTTGCAAAATTAAGGATAGTGGAGTTCATCTGAGATGCTTGATGAAGAGCGTGGAAGTCGTTAGTTGTCTTCCCGAATAAATTGTTTTTTTCGAAGTCTATGTCGAGATGAAGAAAATATAGTTGGAGTCAAGGATGGCAACAGGTTGTGGGTAGACGACGTGTTCGAAGACTCTACAAGGAATGCTATTTGTCCAGATGGGCTTGTGATTTCTACGGGAGTGCTTATCGCCAGTTTTCTAACAAAGAATTACTTGTTCGTTTTTCAAATTATTAGGTAAAGCAAAGGTATTAAGTGACTGTTGGAATAGACTAGCGAATATGGAAAGATAGTATTAAATTCTTGCTTTAAAGAATTTGGAATTGATTTCGTCTATACCAGTAGCTGAGGACAGTTGAAAAAAAAATATTTTTTTTAGACGCCGTTGGGTCAAGAACAACATGGCTCATAGTGAAAAACGTGTTAACAAGAAACAAAGAAAGCATTATAGGGCAATGGCACGCACTTCGACTTTTGGCAGTCTCAATTATTTTTTTTTGTTGAAATTATAATATGCAATTATTTTCGTTGACATCTAGATCCACAGTTAGGCAAATGTGAGGAGGGACGAATAATGAGTATATTTATGTGAAAATAAAATGTAGAAAAGAAATGAAAAGGAGATATTCCTACTTCATTGGAAAACCCTTAAATATGACTTCACACAGAAATATATTTATATCAACATGCCACGAATTGACTACAATACATGCTGCTGTTGGAGTGTTTCGCGCAAGTATTCGAGTTGCTTTAAATGCGACCCACTACAAAAATGATCACAAGCTTACAAAAAAAATCGAGAAGGCCTGTTCTTGTAGCTTTGTTGCTTCTTGTCGTGCTTTTTCAAGAGATTCGACAGGTGTTGACTGACAATTATGGCTTGTTTTATTTTACCCCGCAGTTTTCTTGACAAGTTTCGAGAGCTATGGCGCCGATCCTCGGGTACTGGGATGTGCGCGGATTGGCCCAGGGCATCCGAGACCTGCTTATTTACAAGGGCGTCCATTTCGAAGATAAGCGCTACAAGTTCGGCCCGGAACCCGAATTCAGCCGGGAGGAATGGTTCAAGGAGAAGTTCAACCACGGACTTAAGTTTCCCAACTTGCCCTACTACATTGACGGCGACGTGAAGCTGACGCAGAGCATGGCCATTATCCGCTATCTTGCTCGAAAGTATGATCTGGCGGCCAGGTAAGATAACGCAAAATTACATTATCCAATAAACGCGGAACGCCCACCACCAAACTCTTTACATGCGGTTTAGCCAACTATTTTTGCACCACTAAGACGTCGGCGATGGTGACTTCTTTGGGATATAAAAGTTTGTATTGCCAGAAGTACAGCCATTGGTAATTAAACACATAGTACAGCAGTACAGTACAGCAGAAATCTATCGCATGGCAGAAAGTAACAGCTTTGGAAATCCTACACAAAAAACACAAAAAAACGTATACCGATTTCAGTCGCCAAGCGTGCTGTTACTTTGTAATATAGTTGTTAATAGGTGGCACTATAACCTTGAAGCATGGCTACACATTTTGACACCTTTGTACAGTCAAATTCGCTGGTATCGAACTTTTCGCTTATTATTCACTTGTTTTTTCTTGACGTGATGTTGCTTTTAGTTATGGCCTACAATGGCCTACAGCAGATACATTACAGCCACATTAATACTCTGTCCACACTGCAGGCAAAGCGGGACATACAAGCACAATAAGTATACCGTGAACAACGTTTCGCTGCACGAGCAACGCAAAGTTCCACTCAATCTATGAAGCTAGCTCGCTCTTGTAGGTTTTCTTTTACCCACACCATGTTGGGAAATGCAGAACTGTATCAACTAATTTGTATTATAGGATTGAGATCTCTCCAAAACAAACTATAATCTGCAGTCATTGGGGTGTTTCAGCAGATCGTATTTTTAAGGCTTTGCAGTGCGCCAAAAGTAATGTCGGCTTGTTAATCAGTCCTGGGGTCAACAAGGACCATTTCAAAAGTTCTTGCTGATGAGTTCCAGCTAAATATTGCATTAGTGAAGTACTCTTATTTTGATACAAGTTCTTCCTTCTAGGGAGTAACTTCAGTCTTTTTTTTTTTTTTTTTTGTTCTAAGGAACGAGGATGAGACCACAGAGTTGGACGTTTTGGAACAGCAAGCCAGGGACTTGGCCTGGGGACTTGCGATGGCCGTGTATTCTCCCTCCTACGAAGAGTCTCGCAAGAAGTACGAGGACAACTTGGAAAGTGTGCTCAAGGCCTGGGACGACCACCTTCAGGGCAAGCTTTGGGTCTTGGGGGACAGGCTCACCTACGTGGACTTCCTTTTCTACGAAGCCCTGGACTGGCACTATGAACTGAAGCCTGAAGCCTTCCAAACTTTCCCCGTTCTTGTGGCCTACCTCAAGAGATTCGAAGAATTGCCCAATCTCAAGCAATTCTTTTCTTCGCCGAAATTCAGCAAGTATCCGATCCTCGGTCCCATGGTCAAGTGGGGTTACAAGAAGGAATAATTTTTGCCCGATATTTTTTCAATATTTGTCATTAATAAACATATAATTTCTCTTTTTAGGGCATGTATCGATGAAAATATGTCGTACGCAAAGCAATAAAATTTTGAATGAGTGTAGACTTGGTGTCCCGATACCTTCGAGAGTAGCTTGACACATTTTACATTTCACCAGGTTGATCTTCAAAATCAGGTTAACACTGAGTAATAGCGTTTCCTAAATTAACATTAAAATGATATTCAGAAAAGAGGAGTTCACATTGTTTACAGTGAAAAACACCAGGATGAAATACAAGATACCACTATTTTCGGCGACTGACGAGCGAAACATTCCTGAAAAATATATTTTCTATTCTTTTTATAGATTGCGTTTTGAGGATTGTGTTCTGAGAATTGTGTTCTGAGGGTGTGCAAAGACTCCCTCGTGTGACGAAGTGTGTACCGCTCTTGGATTCATAGACATGTGACTGCATATTTTGCCTGCGCGATAAGCTATGGAAGGTATGAAATCTCGAACCGAATTTCTCCTCCCTTCGTGGAGGTACCAAGAAAGTACTTTTTCCAAAAGAAAAAGGTTGACTGGTGTTTGCTGGTTTTTTGGGTTATCCGGGTTTGATAGTACACAGAAAGTTTTCAGTTTGACGCCGCCCTTTTGATTAAATTTTGGGAAATAATTTTTTCAAAAGTGTTTTTCTATGAAGGTTGTCAAAAAATGACAAATTACAACCCAAAACAGCATCCCAGCCACGGTATACAATCGTAAAACGCGCGGTGAAACTAATGCACATGTACATAATGAGGCAGTAGTTTTGGTTTTAGAGCAGAGGTATCTAATAACTCTTTCCATTTGATTTAAGCTGGCAAAAACACCAAGCATAAAGACATTTCACCCAAGCAGACAGTAATTTCGTAAATGGCGTCCTTGGCACCAATCTGGAACTTTCCGGAGCTACATGTGTTATCACTGAGCCTATACTTTCACCTCAGTCGCGTATTCAAGGGCAGTAGGTTGTGTTGTGTTGTGTTCATCCCCTTCGGCGTTTCCTGAGTCTCGGGTTTTATTACCGTGAATCACTATCCGCTAGCTTTTTCTTTAAGTGGCAGTAGGCGTTGCTACTTTCCTCAATCTTATGGTGGGAGGCCGCAACAGCTGCGCCCGAACCATAAGTGGGAGCGCAGCCGTTACTAGGGGACGATGACAAAAGTAGCAGCGCTACAGTTGCAACGACATGTCATTTGTCGTCTTTTAGTAACTTCGAAATATCCAGCTAATTTAATCAAATGAAAAAGTTGCGCTGCTGCCTTGAGCCTTTAGACTTTGTCAGTTGTTTGAAAGTCCCCTAGCCATTTTAACGGAGCTCTGACAAAGGAAAGTATGCAATAGATCATCAAGCAGGGTATATAAACCACCGCTGATTGCCGGCCGCTGCGGGATGCAGATATGCCATTAAATTTCTATTATCCTTGAAGTGTTTGGATGGCGTCCTCTTATGTCCCTTTTTCGTGACGTCATGACGTGGATATACCTCGCCGTGACGTAACGAGTGAGTGAGGATACATATTTATGAAAGGAATGGCTACATTACGGTCTTTTGATAAAGAGATCGTGATGTATTCGCAACTCCAGCAAAACGGACGGCCCCTAGCGGGAAAACAATGAACTGGTCGGAACAGGTCCTTTTGCGATTTCTGCTCGTCTCTTGTGGCGTCCGTGATTACATGTTGTCGGTGGCTTGCGCGATAGAACTCTTCTCCCAGTGAGTCTGTCGTAAGTGTATAGCGTCATCTTTTACTCAGGTTGCTCTGAACGCAACCACCTAACCGCGTGAACCAGACAATTCGCATTTATCAACGTTCATCAGCACCGTACGGAAGGATAGTATAGCAGTCCTTTTATCGCGTCCTCAACGGAAGTCAAGCCTCTGGAAGCTTGATTACGCCAACACCCGCCACAGTTCTGAAAGGTGGAGGATTAAGGTCGGGGCAAACCATTTTGAGTCGAAATGCTTTTGCTTGCTGATGCCCAAGCGTTGTGCGTTGAGCTTGCACATGGCACGGCGCGACCTGTTTTCGACCGCCATATTTGCCCGACAGTGGCGTCCTCTATGGGTAGTTGGAGTTGCGAATACATTCCTTTCACACGAATTATGATACTTATATTCAGATGTGAACCACAAGTTTGATGGAATGCGCAAAAAAACACAAAGGCAGTTTGAAGTAATTGCGTTTTAAAACCAACACTGTCGGTCGATGTTGATAGTCTGATAATGCTAATGCGTCCGTTGTTTGGCCACTCAAGGTAAGTTGAATACTGCCACGTCTTTCGTCGCACACGTCGCCAAAATGTCTATTGATAAATTACCCACGCATCACGAAGAATGCTGCCAGTGTAGGTATACGCGCCACACGCTCTCTGCTTCTCCGTATAAAAGGTTCGAAGCAAATGACCAAAATAAGGCGTTGACAAACTCACCTGGAAGCTGGTTTTAGGCTTTTACTTTAGAACAGTTACTGCTGCAGGCTCCAGCGCGAGTATCCTGTATAACTGCACTCTCAGTATGCTCCCTGGTGCATGGTACTTTAGCAAAAGGTCTATGGCGACGTGCACGATCGAAAGCGTCGCTGTGGTCGGCCTTCCACGATTGGCCGTATGGTGACTACGACGTCAGCAAAGGTTTTTCCTCATCGACACAAATAGAAGGAGTGTAAGAACATCAATTTTGACCGTGTTGAGAGTGTTGGTTTCAGAGTGCTATGATTTCAAGCTTCCACCATGCTGAACACAAATACCATCCAACTTGTTCTTCAAAAGGTAATGACGTCACGAGAGGGAGCCATACGAGGGCGCCACAAAAATATCTGACCGTTGCAAGCAAGGCGACTGGCCGCCGCCATATCTCTGCTCGTTCGTACAAGCCCGTGCAATCGCAAGCCTGCCAAGGCTATGTTCGAGCGCAAGTTGCACGTGCTTGCACGCGTGGGGCACCGGTCGGCGCGCCATGCTTGCAACTGTTTATATACAATTGCAACCATGGAGCTGCGACTGGTGCTTTATGTCTGCTTGCATAGCCCCCTCTATACTGATAAAGCTTGGTGGATCGCCACGAGACTCGGCCGCCAAAAGTGAAAAGGTAGAGCGGCATGCAGACAACGGATGAGTGGAGAGCCATATAACAGGCTCCCCGCTGCGGCGAGACGCCGAAACACACTTCTGCTGAGCGATGGAATATCCGCCCGTGCTCCTCGCGTTTCTCACGCTACCGCTTCTTTTCTCGTCAGGTTGGAAAACCATGTTTAGGGTCCTCGCGGCTGCAAAAGCTGTGCGCAAAGCAAATTGTTGTGTGTACGTTTATACAGTCGGAAGTTAGTCTGTCTCAGTGGGCGTCTGGTGTCTCAGTTGTAGATGAGCAATTTAGCCAGTGCGGTACAACCGCTAACCTGGGGTCTTTAACTTATACAATCTTGTGCGCAGCAAGGACGAGCACAAAAGAAGAGAACAGGACACAATATGCGCAACTTTCAACTGAAGTTTATTGAATGCGTGTTTCGGTATTTATAGTCCGTGCACCACGCAGTAGTGATGCACGACCGCACGCCGGTACGATGCTCATCCAGATCGAAATGGGCAGGGGCGGGGATTGAACCCAGGGTCCCTGGGCTCTGCAGCGCGAGCTTTCGCTCCACGTGCTGGTGTGCGCTAAACCACTCGGCCACCGATCTGCGCGCTGAATACCAGATTCCCCTAAAGCCCCTTGATAAAGGCCGTTTTTACAAGTACCGCCAACCATTGTTGTGAAAACGCGCGAGATACGTGCCGCGAGCGCGTGCTCCGCCGCCATTCGCTTCCAAAGGCCGCTCATTTCAGTGCTGCACCGCCATTTGCTTCCAGGGGCCGCTCGAGACATGGGCCTCGTGCGCTCGCGCATTTGACGCTACTTGCAAGACACGTAAACACATGAAGGGGCTTTAGATTCCCCGAGAAATTCTTCCTGCTACCAGATTCTCGCACTCCAAATCTGCGACCGGGCACTCTATGACTCTGTCGTCGAACTGCCAGGCTTTGTGAGTGTAAAGGGGGCTATAATGCATGCACGTGCAGCGCGCGCGTGAGCGTAGGTTTGCCAAGCTTGCATTTGCACGGATTGGTCCGCACGAACAAAAACATGGAGGCGGTCACACAAACTTTTCGGCTAAGGAACCGGATTGGGTATCTTCTCTCACTCTCGAGGGCTGGAAAATAAAAAAAGATATATATGATGAAATACTAGATAAATAATCATAGATAAGCATTTAAATAAGAAAACATATAGGCGACTGAATACACTTAGCTTTTTTGGAAATTAAATGTTTAACTAATTAGGACATTACAGAATAAGTGTGACCCAGAACGTTCCACAGCCATAATTGAAAGTGCATAGGAAGTTCGAGTATTCAAACGGGGCAGAAGCCTGATAAGAACGGTACGCCTGATGATGATTATATGAGCTTATGACACAAGAAAAAGAGAACGATATATAACAGAACGCAAGATTGTTTTTACAGAGTTACTCAGACGTGAAACGTGGGACTATGAATAGTAATGCTGGCGCACGATGAGCAATAAATATTATTGGCGAGAAAAAACACTTTTCAACGCAGTTTTCACTCGTTCTTGCCTATATCCTCGTTAGCGTTTTTGGTACGCATCTCGGTGCCGTTTTTTTATGTATTTCTTGTTCTTTTTTTCGCACGCTTATTTCTGCGTTGGCAGGAGCCATTCGCCGGGCGTCACTGCAAAGACTGTGGCCATCTGCTGGCCAGCTCCAGAAGGCCTTGGCCGGCCGGATCTGGCTCGCGGTCCGGGATTTGGGGGCCCCTCCTGGATATACCAACTATGACAATACTTAGTTTCAAAGTCAGCGTACAAAACTGCCAAAACTACTGGCACGAACGCCTATTAATATACGTCAATTTTATCTCAAGCCTCATTTGCACGAGAGCAGGGGCGAAGGAGTCGATTTACTCCTATTTACCTGACGATGTACCGCGACGGGCAAATCGAGCTACCGTAGCCGATTCATATAGCTCGGAGCTTGTCACGCAACTTAGCGTGACCCCGCGTCGCTCTGCCCGACCTGAAGCG